TCCTTGATCTGTTGTTTAACTCTTCTGTCTGTCGTTCGGACTGTCGTTCGGACTGTTCTTTGATCTGTTTTAACTCCTCTGTCTGTCGTTCGGACTGTTCCTTGATCTGTTTCATTTCAGTTGACATACTAAGCAGAAGTTCCATCATTTTAGCGGTTGAAAACGTGCCTGTGCTAATTTCATTGTCTTCATCAGCACCATCAAACTTGAATTCGTCTGGGTTCTTACCTTCGTCAATGAGAGCTTCTCTCAGACGTGCTACTTGTACTTCTTTGTTGCCACTTGTGACAAGGCTTCGTTTCTGTAATTCTCGTAGCTGAACTACGTTCAAACCACACAGTTTTGACATCGTGTTCTTTTTCTCTGAGTAGAAATTCGCTGGTCGAAGATCTCACTTCTGACACCAATGTTATAATACTCACTGTCGTAACCGATTTACGATGCGACGGGTTCAAATCTTCGATTGAATAAAATACTCCAAACTGTTATTAGTTATTAAACTTTATTAAACAAATATCGCTTTAAATAATTCACCGAATCGCTATTCACAAAATCACGAATTTCACTAATCACGAATTTCACTAATCGCTAATCTTCAAGCGCCGTTTCTAGATTCTTCTAGATGGTCCGATTCTAGCATACTCTAGAATGCTCCATTCACTAGAACATTCTAGAATACGCTAGAATCTAGTGCGTTCGGTAGCACGGTTATAACACTATATATATATATATATATATATATATATATATATATATATATCGTATATATATATATATATATTTCAAAAATTCAACACTATTTTCAACATTGTTCAACTTTTTTATATTTCTTTTTAATTTATTAATTTCAGAGAAATTAGTGCCAACACTGTAGATACCAATGCTACAACCCGCAGCGCAAATATCAGTTGCAATTGGAACATCATCAATAGTGACAACCTTAACAACAACATCAACAACACTAACAACAACATCAACAACAACAGCATCAACAATAACAACAACAACAGTGCCAACACTGTAGATACCAACGCCACAACCCACAGCGCAAATATCACTTGCAAATGGAACATCATCACAAGAAGCAAGAAGAACCACAGCGATGATAATAATAATAACGTTAACAATAATAATAATAATAATAACGTTTTTGAATATTGTCAAAATAATACTAATAATATGTAGTTAATTAAATAAATTAATTCGCGCTTCTCGGCTGAGTGTTGATATTTACCTTAACAACCATAATATAAACAATCTTGCCGTTAAAATTTTTAAAAATCGCGTTTTATATTGTTTATAGTTATTAAATTTATTTTATTGGTTTTCTGTTTTAATTAAATAATTTATATAAATTAATAATTACTTGTTCCTTTATATCAAATATCTTACATACCTTATATATAATGCACTGAAGATGAGTTATTTATAACTCGAAATAGCTATTTGCAAATTTATTTAATAAAAATTTTTTAAAAAACAATAAAATGTCTAATTTCTCTGAAATTAATAAATTAAAAAGAAATATAAATAAGTTGAACAATGTCGAAAGTCGTGTTGAATTTTTGAAATGTTGCGTTAACAACAGTCTGTTACCAAAAACATATATGTATATATATATATATATATATATATATATAAACCATAATTTTTACAATATTCACAATATTCTATAAATTCTACCAAATTTTGGCGTTAATATATGTTTGTAGTTCGTTTTTTTGATTTTTCTCACTAAAGTTTTTTGGAGAACGTTTAGTTTATTAAAATTTAAAATAAACTTATTTTTCGAAATCATGCTGCAAATAAGGCTATATTTCGATTCCGAATGAATCATCATCATTGCAAATTAGTTTATATATAAAAGCATTCACTTTGTCAAAGCGAATTTAGATGGAAATTAATTTCTTTATTGGCTTCGTTGGTTTCCTTTTCTTCATCGATAGCATCCTATTCTTCTTTGTCATTTTGTAATATATATATATATATATATATATATATATATATATATTTATTATTATTATTATTATTGAAACATTTATGAAACGCTAATTAAACGAATTTCAAAAGCGCTATCTAACAAAAACTGAACTTAGCAACATAATTGAGATAACAAACGAGAAACCATAATGCATCGTACAGAAATAAGATTAAAATTTGGTCATAAACAGAAAAAGTAATCGATTCAATAGAACGAAAATACGAAATGATATTTAGAACATGTCGACTAAACAGAAAGAATTGATCAATAATGCATTACAATGAAAATAAATGAGTTTTCAATTTCTTCTTGAAATCACGCAGGTTTAGGTCCGGATTTCTGAGAGCAGCAGGCAGGTTGTTCCAAACAGTTGGTCCAGAAACAGCAATATTACGAGAGCCTATACGGAGACTCGTTGTTGGGATCAACAGCAGGTTTGAAACATCGGATCTCAGGTGTGCTCCAGATGCTTTTGAAGATCTCTTTTTGAATCTGTCAGACAAATAAGATAGAGCTAGACCGTTAATAGACTTGTAGACAAGTGTTGAAATTTTGAACAACACTCTTTTGTCGACGGTTAGCCAATGAAATTCCTTCAATATTGGAGACACATGGTTGTATTTTAGAGCTCCAACAACAACTTTTGCGGCTCGATTCTGTATTGACTGCAGTACAGCCATGAATCGATCAGGTAAATCATAAAACAAACTGCTGCAATAGTCGACGCGTGAGTGCACAAATGCATGAACCAACGTCTGTAACTTGGACGCATCTAGGGATCATCGAATTTGATTGATTTTCCTGATTTGAAACATGCATTCGGCTAAGAGCTTCTTAATGTGTTGTTTCATTGACAAACCTGAGTCAATTATGAAGTCCAGATTAGCTGCTGTCTGACAAAATGGAATGACCTCATCATTAACAGTTACTGAATCTTTGTCTTTTCTTGAGAGTTGCTGCCATGTTCCGATTGGTAAAAAAACAGTCTTGTTTTGGTTTAATTTCAGACCATTGTTTTGCATCCACTTATTAACCCCAGACAAACATTTAACAAATTTGTCCAATTCTGATTTAAAAGAATCTGGTCTGCTCGTAACAATAATTTGTAAGTCGTCCGCAAAAGCATGACCTGAAAAACCAAATGATTCTATTATCTTTAGTACTTCAGATGTATAGATCAGGAATAGAATAGGACCTAGAACCAAACTTTGTGGCACACCTGACAACATAACATTAACCTCAGACAATTTACCACCGAATGATTCATGTTGTGATCTACCTACCAGATACTACTCAAGCCACCTCGGAACAGCACCAAAGATTCCAAAACTGCAACGTAGTCTTGTTAAAAGTACATTGTGATCTACGCAATCAAATGCAGATGACATATCAAGAAAGACTAGCATTGCCACATTTTGTTCATCAATTGCCCGTACACTTCTGAGAAAACTTGCAAAAGAACAGTTTCAGTCAAATGGTACTTACAAAATCCAGATTTAAATTTCGGCATTAAATTTTTATTTTTCAAGTAACTGAGTGTTTGCCTGGCAACCACACGTTTGATAATTTTGGATAGGAAAGACAGATTGGAAATTGGTCAGTAATTCCCAACATCATTTTCGTCTAGATTATGTTTCTTCAGCAGCGGAGTTATGATGGCATGCTTGCAGCCAGAGGGAAACTGCCCCACATTCAAACTGCTGTTTATCAAGCCTGCCAAAAATGGTGAGAAAAGTTTTATAAAGTTCTTTAATACGTGGGTAGGTATTACATGTTGTTGACACTACTTTGTAGGTGAATTTTGAACTAACTGTTTTACCTCCTCTTCAGAAACCATAGAATATATATATATATATACATATATATATATACATATATATATATATATATATATATATATATATATATATATATATATATATAATAATCGACCCCTTGAACTTGTAGGGTATGATTTTTTATCTCTACGTGGATTATCCACTTCTGAACAGACTTATTTCAGATTAACTTTATCAGAAAGAAAACCGTGATGGCAATCACTTGTGGGTATTGCTGTGATCAATCACTCGTTTATTCAATCGATAAAATCGTTAGAATACCAATCAACAGGTAAATCACGGAATAAAACTAACCGTCACTAATTAATCTTCTCTTGCCAGACTCGGGTTCTCTTGCCCTGGTATTCTTTACTGCAGTGAGTTTCCATGTATCGAAATCTTACTTCTGTCACCAGTGTGTAATCTCCTGAAGGTCCCATTTCTAACACAAATGTTGTAACTCCTCGACCTCGTAACTATCAACACCGATGCTTCAATACTTGCTCTATCTCCGACACCGTGTTGTAGTTTCCAACGGTTGTCAAAAGTTCGTTTATCCGTAGGTTCAAGATTACCGATAGATGAACGCAACCACCTTAAACGCAAACTGAGTTGAACAATTATTTAATACCAACAGTAATAGAAACAATAAATTAATCGAAATAACAATGTAATTCACATTTACGACTTCAACTAATCATTCAAAAACAAAAAAAATTAATTTTAGAGTCACAGATCATTCATAAAATATCACACGCACCTTACGAAGGTTGCCTAGCAACCATTTTTGCAGTAACTTGAAATGACTTGAGTAAATATCAACAAGTGAAATGGCAAATAATGTTTGTATAAACTTTATGTTGAAAAATTTATTAAAATAAATTAATCAATTAATCAGTCAATTAATCAATTATTGAATTATATTAATAACTGTTAATATTGATTGATTTAATTAGGATTTTATTTACACATTTTTACACATTATATTAATAACTGTTAATATTGATTGATTTAATTAGGATTTTATTTACACATTTTTAACCGCATTTTTGTTTTTAGACGTCGAAAGGTATTTCTGTGAAAGAAGCATTAATTAAATGGGTAAAACTTAATAATGCCATTTTGTAGTTTTAATTTATTTAACAATCCCTATATTTTGCTATTTACAAAATCTGATAGAAAACCTAGAACCAAATTTTCAGTCAATTAGTTCAAAACATACTCACTTTCATTTATTTATTTTAATTTTTATTAAAAGAAAATTGTAATTTAAAAAATTTTTTTTTCCAAATTTATTTGTATGTATGTATGTATGTATGTATGTATGTATATATATATACATAAGATATATAAATATATATATCTTTATAAATAATTGTATTTATTTAGTCTAAACCCAAAATTTCTATCAAGGACATGGACTAAATGCGTCGTCACTGATGAAAGTGACGTTAACTCTAATCTTAATAATGAACTTGAAGAAATGCCGAAAACGCAGTGATCTTTATAAATAATTGTATTTATGATAGTCTAAACCCAATATATATATATATAATATTTATGTATATTATATATATATGTTGGAAGGAGACCATAATGCTCAATGTTGGACCACTGACCGCAGCATGGAAAGAGCAGAAATGCTCGAGCGTAGACGGATTGACATCTGCTGCCCTCAGGAGACCCGATGGAAATCGAATGGTGTCTGTCATATCAACTCAGACAATAACAAATATAAACTATTCTGGAATGGTCAAAAGACGGTCAAAAATGGTGTTGGAATTTTTGTCAAAGAACCGCTAGCCCAAGAAGTACTGGATATTAAAAGGATTAATTCACGTCTCATGTGAATCAAGCTTCGCCTAGAAAAGCAAACAATGACTATTTTTTCTGCATACGCACCACAGACAGAGATGAAAAATGACTCCTGGGCTGCGTTCTCTGACACCATCTCAACAATACCAAAATCTGAAACAATCCTGATTGGAGGCGATCTCAATGGCCACGGTGGAGAGAAAACAGATGGTTTTGACAACGTACATGGCGGTTTTGGCTATGGAAAACGAGAAGAAGATGGCAACCGCATCGTTGAGTTTGCTGAAAGTCCCGAGTTTTGTTTACTGAACACATATTTTAGAAAGAGGTTGGAACATCTCATAACATACAAAAGTGGAGCATCAGCCACGCAAACTGATTTTTTCGCTGTCAAGCAACAACACCGAAGGCTATTCAAAAATGTCAAAGTTATACCTGGCGAATCATGTGTCGCCCAACATAGACTCTTTGTGGCAAACCTGGTTGTCGAACTATCACAACATAAGTCTAAACAAATGTCTCGAAAAATCAAAACCTGGAAGCTGAAAAGCAATATTCATCGAGAAAAATTTCAACAGATTGTCGCCACACAGTTAGACCACCAATCGCAAGCCAGTACAGATTGGAATACATACAAAACCGTTTTGATAAACGCTGCAACTACAGTTTGTGGGAAAACTGGTACAAAACGTCAGCATGAACGGGTCACTTGGTGGTGGAATGACAGTGTACAAAATGTAATAGCTGAAAAGAAAGCTGCATACCAGCAATGGCAAAAATCAAAGTCTGTTGATGACCATAAAATTTTCCGTGAAAAGAACAACTATGCAAGACGTCAAGTCGTACTGGCTCAGAGAGATCAGTGCAGAGAGTGTCTCACCAAAAGCAAAAGTGAACAAATGAAATTTCGGTATCGTATAGCAAAACAAGCAAAGCGTACGAAAAAAGACGTAGTTGGTGCTTCATTTATCAAAAACGACAAAAATGAGATGGTTATTGAACAAGATGAGATCAAGCTACAGTGGAGAGAATACTTCAACCGTCTGTTAAATGAAACAAATCCCATCAATGTCAACTTTGACGCTCCACCCATCGAAGGTTCGATTCTGTAGAAGAGCTTACAGAAGCTCTGAAAGCTATGAAGGATGGAAAGGCAGCTGGCCCTCTGGACTCACAAATGACATTATCAAAGCATCTGGCACTGCAGGTATCCAAACGTTACTACAACTTTGCCGTGAAGTCTAGAGAAATTGCTCAATGCCGACTGAATGGAACTATAGCATGACAGTCCCGCTATACAAAGACAAAGGTGATCCATTGAACTGTTCATCATATTGGGGTATACATCTGTTAAAATTGTTAAAATCTCAAAGAAAATCATTGAGAGAAGATTAACGTCGTGCATCACAATCGGAAATTATCAATTTGGTTTCCTAGCAGGGAAATCAACAATTGATGCAATTCACATCCTTCGGCAAATGCAAGAGAAGTACCTCGCAAAGCATCAACAATTATCACTCATTTTTGTAGACCTTGAAAAAGCATTTGATCGAGTTCTCCGTGAAGCAATCAGGTGGAGTCTACGTCGACAACTAATTCCAGAATATCTTCTTCGACTTGTGATGGAAATGTATACGAATACTAAGACTCTCGTCAGCACAACGTTTGTAAACAAAGATGCATTTGACATCGGCGTTGGAGTTCACCAAGGCTCGATTCTCAGTCTACTGTTATTTATAACTGTGATGGAAGAAATAACAAAACCGATACGCACTGGTGACATTTGGAATCTAATATATGCTGATGATATCGTTTTAACAGCCACTTCTGAGCAGAATGCAGCACAAATGTTTATAAAATTTGGGTGGATAAAATTGTTAAAAAACATCACTGCATTTTCAGCTTTGATCAGTTTCTGGTTCAATTTTTTAATATTTTGTATCGTATTTTTACCATAGCTACCGACAAAGAAACTAATAATAAACAGAACAGTGGCGGATCTAAACAACTTTGACGGATTTTGACAAATATTTGACGACTGACGACCGGGCGGGAGAATTGTTTTGGAAATTTTTTTTAATAACTATGTATACGACAGTCTGAACCCAAATTTTATAAATTCACGGACCAGAATGAAAAGAGAATAAAAAGACAAAAAGAAGATTTTCAATGTGATAAAATTTGAATTGAACAATTATTACAATAGATGGCACTGTTGCGAGTTTTTTTTAGATATAAGAAACAACAAGTAAGAATGTTTATAACGTATTTATTCACGTAATACAAAATAAACGAAAACGTGTTCGGCAATGCAATTAGACAAAGAGAAGTTCGATCGTAAAATGTCGCAAGAAGAAGGGCCGTTGTCATTGTGTTGAAGCTATATATAGTAAGTCGTCACATGCTTAGATTAGGGATGTGCGGTTCAACAATATTCCCCTACCAGATCATCAGCACAAGCTGTTGATCGATGTTAATCAAGATATCGAGATGGGATGTGAACTGTTCTTCCCGATCTTGTGGTTCTCCGGGGTGATGGAATGTTGGTGTCGATGGATCGATTTGGGTGTGCTTGTGTCGACGTAGATGTTTCTGTTGTTGGCATGTCCTCGTCCGTTGATGGAGATAGCGTTGACGTTTTTGTTGATGCTGATGTGTCATTCGACGACGGAATTAATTTTGTTGAAGGTGTTGTAGAAAGTGATGTCGGCACTGTGGTCGTTGGCATGGGTGACGGTATTGATGGTGCCGGTGAGTATGCGGGTTTGAGGCGGTCTATTGCCACCGTGTCCCTATGCCCCTCTTTGTCAATGACGAAATATTTTGGGTGTCTTTCTACCACTGTGTAGGGTCCCTCGTATGGAGGTTGTAGTGGCGAGCGGTGAGCATCCGTACGAATAAAGACCTGTTCTGTAGTGAAGAGGTCCTTTGGAATGTAACTCACATTTGTTTTTGTTCTTGGTTGTGTTGCTTTTAGGGTCTCCACCCAGCTTTTGAGTTTTAGTGCATAGGTGTGTACATCGGTTGTCTCTGACCGTGGGTTTGGAAAATCTCCGAGAAGGCGGAGTGTTGTGCCGTAAACAAGTTCTGCTGGTGACAACTTTAGGTCTTCCTTCTCCGTTACACGAATGCCTAATAGTGTCACTGGTAATACATCCGTCCATTTGTCTGAACCGTGAGCCATAAGTGAGGCCTTAAGTTGTCTATGCAATCGTTCCACCATACCGTTGGCTGCTGGGTGGTAGGCGGTGGTGTGAATATGTTTAATGTTTAGTAACTGGGTGAATCTCTAGAAAGAAAAAGATGTAAACTGGCTGCCTCTGTCTGTTGTAATGGTTTCTGGGACTCCATACAACGAAATCCAGTTTGAAAATAATTTATCTACAATTGTTTCCGTTAGAGTATTTTTGATGGGGATTGCTACTGGCCATCTGGTGAAACGATCGACACACGTTAAAATGTGTGTGTGTTCATCTGATGAAGACATTGGTTCGACTAAATCGATGTGTACATGCTGAAACCTGCTGCTTGGTGAAGGGAATTCTGCTGGACGTGAAGCTGTATGTCGATGTACTTTGCTGCGTTGACATTGCAGACACTCTCTGCACCAGTTACGGATGTCTTTATCAATGTGAGGCCAAACATACCTGGCTCTAATTAATTTCGATGTTGCTTTCGCTCCTGGATGTGACAGGGAATGGAAATTCAGAAAAACCGATTTCCGCATGCTTATTGGAACTAGAGGACGAGGGGTGCCTAACGAGGTGTCAACGACCATATTGTTTTCTGAGTTGTTGACTGGAATTATGCTGATTTTTAATGAGTCTGTGTTGTCAAGAAGTGTTGCATCATCCTCCTGTTCTTTCGACATCTCCTCCAGGTTAATTGCTTTTGGCGTTATCGTGGCTACCTCTGTACGTGATAGCGCATCAGCCACAACGTTGTTTTCTCCTTTCACGTGTCGAATGTCTGTTGTGAACTGTGAGATGTAATCTAGGTGTCTGATCTCTCTTGGTGTTAAACGACTTGAATCTGAACGTAGGGCAAACGTCAATGGTTTATGATCAATGAATATTGTGAACTCTCGACCTTCGAGGAAGTGTTGAAAATGGCGGACAGCTGAATACACTGCCAGCAGTTCTCGACTAAATGTACTGTAGCGGGTCTGCGCTGGGTTAAATTTTTGCGAAAAAAAGGCTATAGGTCTTGCAATCCCCTGACTTATCTGTTCTAGTACTGCTCCCGCAGCAACGTCTGAAGCGTCTGTGAAAAGTTGAAAGGTGCCTTTCTCTTGAACGTACCATAACTTGGTTGCCGCTAGTAATGCCTGTTTGGCCTCTCTAAAACTTTTTTGCTGCCATTCGTTAAATTTTATGGTTTTCGATTTGCCAGTTAAAATGTCAGTGAGAGGTGACAATATCGTTGAGCATTTAGGGATGAATCGACGGTAAAAATTGATCATTCCGATGAATCGGCGGTTCAGCAAAATTGATGATTGCCTGTACTTTGTTGTCGAGGGGTCTAATGCCTTCACTGTCGAGTTGATGCCCCAGGAATGTTGTGGATGATTTGGCCCATTCGCATTTGGATGGGTTGATGGTTAGTCCGTTGTCTTGCAGTCATTGAAGGACTTGTTCTACATGGCTTCTGTGTTCTTCGAGGGTTTTGCTGGCTATTAGTATGTCGTCAATGTATGCGTGGACAAAAGGTAGCCCTCTCAAAACACTATCGATGAATCTTTGAAAAGTCTGTGCGGCATTTCTCAGCCCGAACGGCATCTTCAAAAATTCAAACAGACCAAACGGTGTTGTCACCGCTGTTTTTTGGATATCTTGTTCTGCCATCGGTATCTGGTGGTAAGCCCGTACGAGATCTAGCCTCGTAAACCATCGCACCTGTTCCAGGCTGTGAGCGATATCATGGATGTGTGGAACTGGATATCGATCAGGTGTGGTCCTATTGTTGAGTGCGCGGTAATCTCCACAAGGCCTCCAATCTCCTGATGACTTTGCAACCATATGAAGTGGTGATGCCCAAGGACTGTTTGACGGTCTTATGATTCCGAGTTGACACATGTATTCGAATTCGGCTTTGGCGGCTCGCAACTTCTCTGTATCTGTAACGTCGTGATGTTGTCAACAATTTTGTGTCTCCTCATGTCGACTGCAATATCGAAGTGTGACAAGAAGTCGGCACCCAATATTGCCTGTGTGACGTTTGCAATGATGAAAACCCATTTGAACTTACGTCGTAAACCGAGGCCGATGGTTACGAGCTGTTATCCAAATGTGTCGATGGTGGTGCCATTTGCAGCTTGCAGTTTGTAGTCAGATTTGGATCTTCGGAGGTGTTGTCGTGAAGGTATGATACTTACCTGGGCTCCTGTGTCGACCAAAAACCTTGTCTTCGAAATGTTATCGGTGACGTAGAAAAGGCGACACGGTTTGTTGAATGTTGATGTGGTGTCCAACCACAATTGTTTCAAAATGCTTTCGTCTCTATTGTTTGCCTCCCACAGGCTTTGCATGTGCCTCAATAGTTGTGATGGCGTTCTGTCTTCCATGGCCACGCCTCGGAGCAACGTGCGCAAATTTTTTTCGTCTGAAGCCGAATACCTCTGCGTTAACACGCGCTTCAGTGAGGTGTAAGTTTGTGCCGACGCCAATTCCGTCTCCACATCTATGATGACATCCATGGGTAGGCTTTCGACCAGCGTGGGGTACCATTCATCTTCTTCTGAGAAACCTCGGCCCTTAAGCACATTTTCAAAATATGTGAACCACGCTTTGGGGTTCGCCGTGCTGAATGTGTTTAATTGGAGTGGGGCTCTCGTCGTGGTTCTCTTTGTCGTGGTTTCGCAAGCCATCGCGTTCGGGGTCACCAATTTGTTGCGGTTGAGTTTGATGATGAGAACACCGAACCAGAAGAGCAGTGAGCGGGAGAAGAAAAAAATAGTATTCGTTTGGATAGGCTGGACACGTGTTTCGTCCCTACCGGGGACTCATCAGCAGCCCGAATACCTATCAGAATAGTTATCGCAATTTCTTATAAAGCCCGCACAAATCAACTCCTTATTTCGTGGTGTTTTATTTATTAGTCTTTTTAATCGCTAGGATTTTCAATCCGACAATACTTTCCCACCCGATCGTGGCAGCGTGTGTTGGCGAACGTGATGGATGAGGTTGCATTGCCGGTTGTTGTTATATCGAAGAAAGATCTGCGTTGGAGTGGAAACTCTCGTTGCTTGTTTTTCCTCGATCACGTCGGGGTCACCCGCACATCCCTAATCTAAGCATGTGACGACTTACTATATATAGCTTCAACAGCACAACTTAAACATCCGGAATAATATTAAGACTAATATTGAAAATTCGTTACCACCACAAGAAAATAGGAATAATTAAAATCTACATAAATTAAACAAACTGAAAAATACCACACTTCATTAATCTAAGTCAATACACATTGACACAAGATGAAAAAGAATTTCTCAATCTTGGCATCAATTGCTACTACCTCGAAAAGCCAAAACAACAAGAGAAAGTAATTGAAATTGAAAATTTAATGAAAAAGCTCATAAACTTAGAAGTGAAAAAGTTAACTTAAATCTCAAATGAATAGCGACATTGCCATTGACTTGAAAGCTGAAAGTAAAAAACATCGTGGCTCGTACAAAAGTAAATTGATGAATGAAAAGCTATTGAACGCTGCAATATTTTTGAAAAACAACAGCAATATAACAATAAGAAAGCTGATAAAATATTCATGTATGTCATTTTAGATAAAATAGGATACAACAACAAAATCAACTCTATTTTAGCCGATGATACAAAATTTTAAAAAAATTAAAACCGGCCCCACTCTCGTTTTAAAAACCAAACTTAACGCCATAATTAAACAATTAAAGACAAATTATAAAAGACAAAATATCGGAACTTTCTGGTGATTATAAACCTGGATACATGTATGGTAACATCAAAACACACAAAAACGACAATCCAATCAGACCAATAATCAGTCAAATTCCAACTGTAACCTATTCAATAACTAAACTCCTTAACAGACTATTAACTCCATACACACCCAATAATTATAATCTAAAGTCAAATAAAGAATTTATTAATATCTTGTTAACATTCAATCCGGCAAATGGTACTGCAATCGCATCATTGGATGTTGAATCCCTGTTTACCAATGTACCTGTAATAGATACCATTAATATCATTCTTGATAAAGTGTATCATTCCGATATCACCCCACTGGATATCTCTAAAGACCATCTTAAAAAACTTCTTGAAAGATGTACTATGAAAGCCCCATTTCATAGTCCCGACAACCAACTTTACAAACAAACTAATGGAATTGCCATGGGTTCGCCACTTGGAGTTTTCTTTGCTAATTTCTACATGGGACATTTGGGAGAATCCACCTTCAAAAACACACCACAATTTAAACCAGAAATATATTGCCGATATGTCGATGATATATTTGTGGCCTACAACAACCCAGACACCATAGAAGAATTAATAACCACTTTTAATAGATCTAAATTGAGATTTAATATGGAAAAATCCATAATCAACAAACTACCTTTCCTCGATACTTTAATACAAAATATCAACAACAAATTCAAAACTTCCGTTTATACTAAAACAAGTAATAAAGGATTTTTTTAAATGGTGTTTCCATTACCCAACCAAGAAGCATGTACCGTCGCTGAGGAAATTGTACTCAATTGGATTAGTCGATATGGTGTCCCATTGGAACTTCACTCAGATCAAGGTCGAAATTTTGAGTCACAACTGTTTGGTGAAATGTGCAAGCTGCTGGGTATAAACCAAACTCGAACGACACCTCTTCACCCACAGTCTGACGGTATGGTGGAACGATTTAACCAAACACTGATTGAACATCTGGCTAAAGTAGTCGACGAAAATCAACGGGATTGGGATCGTCATATACTATTGTTTCTTATGGCATACCGGAGTGCTATCCACACAACTACTGGAGAAACGCCATCAAAAGTTCTGTTTGGGACTACCTTAAGAACTTCAGCTGATGTGAAATATGGCGTACCACCTGAACCACACCAACTATTAACAGAATACGTGGATAATCTTCGACAGCGATTAAACCATATCCACCGTTACGTACGCCTTAAAATTATGAAAAACACGGAGGCGGCCAAAACCAGATACGACTTGAAAGGAAGCAGTGGCGGTTTTGAGGTCGACGAGTTAGTTTGGCTGTACAATCCACAGCGAGAGAAAGGACGTTCTCCAAAGCTCCAGCGAGGGTGGGAAGGACCTTATCAAGTCATCACCCGCTTGAATGACGTCGTCTACCGTATTCAGGAATATCGGAAGCCGAGAGCAAGAATGAAGATCGTTCATTTGGATAGACTGGCTCCGTGACGAACAGAACTAAGAAGGGGGTAATGTTATAACCGTGCTACCGAACGCACTGGAACATTCTAGAATATGCTAGAATCGGACCATCTAGAAGAATCTAGAAACGACGCTTGCGAAGAGTATATAAGCGCACGTCGCAAGAAGATTAGCGATTAGTGAAATTCGTGATTAGTGAAATTCGTGATTTTGTGAATAGCGATTCGGTGAATTATTTAAAGCGATATTTGATTTGTTTTGTTGACGTTGTCATAGCGATAGATTTTGAACAATTTAAAAGTTAATTGTTGTGTTAATTTGAATTTGCTAGAAATAAACGATTAGTTGATTTCTTCTGTAAATAAAGTTTAATAACTAATAACTGTTTGGAGTATTTTATTCAATCGAAGATTTGAACCCGTCGCATCGTAAATCGGTTAAGACAGCGAGTATTATATCAATATATATATATATATATACAAATTAAAGTATATATATACTTTTGTATATATATATATATATATATACATATATATATATATATATATATATTACAATTATGTATTCTATTAAATAACTTTCAAGGAAGATAAAACTGGCTCAAAATCTTCAGAAGCAGTAAAAGTGGAATTGTACGCTTCCATTCCTCCCATTGACAGACTCGATGCTTCCATTTCTACTCTGACTGCATGCCAGTTAGAAATATTTAAAAACTTATTTTAAAAGGAAGGCTTTGTGGCTTTGTGGCAGTTTCCGCAAAAAATAGTTTTGTGATTATATCCTAATAACTTTTTTTGTCTTTCACTATTAAGTAGGTCTGACATGCTCAGAGCTGCTTACAGGTTAATCTCTTACAAAGGCCTTAAACATCCACTTCGCATGACGGACATACATATTTTTATGTGCACGCGAACCACCGCATCATACGCAAATGGATTAGGTAGGGTAGTCTTTGAGTTTGGGTTCGACATCATTCGAACCAGTTCATCACACAATAACAACGCAAGACTTTTCTTTTACCGACAGAGACAAAGCTGACAGTCTTGTTCTTATACAGAATTAGAACAAAATTCAACTTTTTCGAAAACTTATTAATAAATTATTTAGATAATAATTTTTTTATCACATTATACAACGTCATTTTACCAAGAAATGCAAATTTTTTCAGGCAGTTGTCATTGTCCACAAATTGTATCGAAAAAATAACGAATTTGAATGGACTAAGTAAATTATTGTTTATTTAAAGTTTATAACTTTTGTACTATAAAACCTTATTTACTTATTTGCGTAATTACTGCAGAAAATTTGAAGATTTTGTCTTTAGGAAGAAACAATATTAAAAGTTTAACTGGCTTGGTACGTTTCAAATTATGTAAATTTTTTGTTCCAATAATTTTTAAATTTCATTTTAACATTCCTGCAAACATGCAATTACTTTTTAAAAAACCATTCCAACATAAGTAATTTATTAATATACTTATCATAAACTGACTTAATAAAATGTTTTTAATTAAAATAGAGTATGACAAAATAAATCTTGCGGATACAGCCGAAACGAAACTAAGCTTAAACAAACAATCGTTGAGTAACTCAACGGAAAAATTTTAATCAATCAATCGATCAATCAATCAATCAGCTAATTCAAATACAAGAATGTATACTGGTGTAATCTTTAACGCTCGTAACTACCAACACCAATGTTATAACTTCAAAGATCTTTGTCAGTGTAGCTTCCAACGATCGTCAAATTCGTAGATTCAAGATTACCGATAGATGAACACAACGGCTTTAAACACAAACTTTTGAAGGAAAACAGTAATAGAAACACTTAGCTAACCCAAGTAACTACGTAAATCACATTTACAACTTTTTTTCAACCTCGCTGCTGACTTTGCTACTTCTGCCTCTTATATACAAGAGATTCTGACAATCTAAAAATTATAAATATAGCAAAAATAACAAATATAACAAAACAACAATTGATTAATTCCACCATTTCGGCGGATATGACATAAAGGACTTACCTTTGCTGTTGGTCCTTAACATAGGCGTCATTTCTATATTCCGATGAATTGGGGCTAACTTATCCAAATGGACGACTTTCTTTTTTGTCCATTGTTTTCCACGATCATAAGTTCTATAGATCACGTCATTTATCCTGTTAATGATGTTGTACCGATCTTTCCAATTCCGTGGGAGTTTCACCAGGCATCGCCTATTTTTGCGCTGTAGGTTGTTCAACCAGACCAGGTCATTGCTCTTGATGCCTGCGTTATTTCTTTTCGGTTCACGCCAGGCTTTTGTTGTTTCGGTTCTTCTAGCCATTGGTAGACGTCGTGGTCCTTTCTTGATTTTGTTTGTACTTAAAACAAGTGCTTTCTTTTTATTGATTTTACGAAGTGCTGAATGACCAAACAAAGAGCTTAGTTGCATGTTGTAATATTTGCTTTCGACATCTTTCCTGTCGATTGGTGATGAAGTGATAAAAATTTTATTCTCATCAGCAATGAAGCCGTCGTTAATATTATCATCTAGGTAGACGAGGATCAAGCTTTCCTTCCAGGCGCACGTTGGAGGGTTTATTTCAAAACTTGAATCATCGTCTGTCACCAGTTTGTGTCCGTTGTGGTTGTGGCTGTTAGGAAGGGAAGCTGGCCAGTTGCTGGCAGCAAGATCCGAGTAGTAATCTCACTGCATATCAAAAGTTTCACTGTTTTTATACTGCAAATTTCTCCAATATTTTCAAAACCTTCATTGTCGTCTTTGTCATCAGTTTCGTTATTACAGTACCAACTTCCTTTCTTCACGTTAATACGTACATCGCAGTTGTCACTTGTATCGCAGTTATTACGTGCGTCGCAGATATCACGTGCGTTGCAGTTAACACGTGCATTGCGGTCAAAATCATCTGTAGGAAGAAAAGACTTTCGATCGCTAATGTGATGTAATTGTTTATAGTTGAATTAGCTGATGAGATGTCAGAATTCGTGAATCTGTTGCTGGTTCGGTCAGTTATACTTTCGCTCCTCCGGTTTTTTGTCCATTATATTTTAGTGATGTTTTCAATTGTCTCTTCATTAAGTTATGTTCTTCTAAAGGCTTACTGCATTATTCCAATCAAATCGGCTGTGTTGATCCAACATTCTGTTCATATCGATTTCTGTTCATCGAATAACCTATTAATTGCGGCAAACTGTTTTTTCATGGGATCCGGAAATTCGAACTCTTCAGGATCGTTGTCTTCGTTTATTAGAGCGTCCCTTAGGCGGTTTATAAAAACTGTCTTTGCTCCTTTTTGAGTCGAGGCTTCGTTGTCGTGGTTCAAAAATGATAAATACAACAAAACAACAATAATTAATTATATAGCGTAATTTCACCATTCCGGCGTTTATAACAATATAAACAAGGAAGCAAATTAATATGAATAAATTAGAACTAATTAATGAAAATAAACTTTTTCTGAATTGTTTGATTTTATTATTTCAATCTTCATGTGATTGTATTATAGTTATTTTTATAAAATGTCGCTTCAAGTTTTTGAGCAAGCTAACAACGCCTGTAAATTTGAATAACAGGCAATAAATCGCTATTGGTGGACGTAACATGAGGTTATCGCCAATCAAACTGTCTTTACAATATAAACATATCCTCAAACGGTTGCTCTAAGTCTACAAAATTAAACCATTTCAAAATTCTTTTGTTGATATTAGGAGACCGTTGGTGAAACATTGGAAGAGCTTTGGATATCGTACAATCAAATTGAAAAATTGAAAGGATTGAATGTATTAAAAAAACTCAGGGTAAATGTCATAGTTGGGTAGAACTTATTTATTTAAAACATATTCTGTGCTGATTTTGGTTAAAATTTGTTAAACTGTGATGTGTTGATTGCAACTTGTTAAACTATGTGATGTGTTGGTTGCAACTTTTAAATTACGTGGTCATCTTGTAGATACTCTACATGTCCAACAATCTGCTGAAAGACTGGACTGAATTTCAAAAACTGGTCAGTTCGTGTTTATTTATCTTATAATCTTTCATAATTATGTTTTTTTTTATTTTTCAAAAATCATAATCTGACAGACATATAATGAAAATAATAATTTCTTTTCTAATTGTTTTTGTTATTATTATTATTGTTATCAGTAGTAAAAGTAGAAGTAGCAGCAGTGGAAAATATTGCGTGAGGCACTGGACCTCCGTTGTGAGCGTTATATGTGTTAAAAATTAGTAAAAGTCGTTGTTTTAACAAAAAAGTAGTGTTTTTGAATTGAAAATTGACATTATATGTCAATTAGCAGAAAAGTTGGCCCCCACACTCCAAAATGTTGTCGCCCATGAGCACAAAAAAGTTTTCGAAAAAATTACTGAAAATTCCTCCTCCGGTCACTAAGTAGTTTTGGTTGGAAGTTCTCCCCCGCTCATTGATTTTTTTATTTGTAAATTCCTTCCCAATCATCAAAGTTTTGTAGAAAATTTTCCCTCTCCGTTCATCGACTTTTTTTGAAAATCCCCCAGGTCGTCAAATTTTTCAAAATCTTGGCCCTTACGTCAAAGTTGTCTCGATCCGCTCCTGGGCAACAGTAGTAATGGTGACTGTAGTATAAGTAGTAGAAATAGTTATAGTGATGGTAATTGTGGTGGGGGTGGGGGTAGTGGCGGTATAAGTGGTGGTGATGGCGAGCACGATATTGTATAATTATATCCTGTATCTTCCGGACACAGCCATTTTGAATGAACGAATGTCTAGGTCCGGAAGTTAAAAAATAAAGTGGATAACACCAAGGTCACCATTCCTTTTTGGTAAGGCTGGTAATAGTGGATAGCAGTATTGTTACTATTGCCAGTAAAAACACAAAACAGTTTAATGCTTGTTTTGCCGGCATGATGATCACAACAAGATAGTTCAATGAAATTAATGATGGTAACGATCTTCGAAACATTTTTTCTTTTTTTAATTTAGCATATCTATAAATTACAAAAGTCGAAACTAGACTTAAGTGTGTCGTAATTAAAAATAACAAGAAAAACAATTTTTTGTTTTTGTAGAAAGTTATTTTAGATATTAAGCAGTACGTCAGGTCACATTTTGCATTGTCGTTTTGAATTTTAATTCTTGAAATATATTTTCATAATTTTGTTGTATTTTATATTCGGTTATTTCGTAACTGTTAAGGGCTAAATAACGGCTGTTAGTACGTGTTTGTTAATCTATTGTGAAAAAACTTATGAATGATAATAATTTATTTTTTTCTTCAAGTATTTTAAAAAGTAATTAAGAAAATTTTGGTAAAAATTAGTTATAACAAACATCAAAATTACTTTACTTTATAGGCCGATCTACCGAATTTAGAAGATTTGTTACTTGTTGGTAAGTCTTCATGCTTCAAAATTTAGTTTATTTAATAATTTTACATGGACCTATTTAAATTGAATCATATGAAATAGATTTGCTTGTACTTTTGTGGTTGGTGATAATAATAATAACATTATTATTGAAAAAGAGTGTTGCAATTTGTGATTTTAAGTGAAAGAGAGTCGCAATTATAAAAAGTCGCATGTCGAAAAGCTCATTGTCAATATTGTATGTTGTTTTTTTTAGAAAAAAAGCTTTGAAAAATAAAAACGTTGGTTGAGGTGTGCTGGTGAATGTGTAGGAGAGAGTTTGAAGATTTGAAGATGATGCCGACTATTTTGAAAACTGCAAAAATTTAAAACCCAATGGAGTTTAGCTAGATTCTACAAGGTCGATGATACGCAATGGTGTGGCTAGTGGTTTCATTATTTCATTATTCTTTAAAGTCGTTTTTCTCATTTCTGAGATATATGTTCAAACATTACGGAATCGCAGTAGTCTACTTTTGAAAGTATCAACATCATGCTAAGATATTGGCAAGTTAAGAACTGATATGTCTAGGTGACTGTTGCAAGCTCTAGCTATTGAAGTGATGTGGTTAAAATAGAAATTGGAAAAATTATCTAACCTTACTCCAAGATTCTTGAATATATTTGACCTAGGAAATAAAAAATAGCTAAATAAAAGTCAAGTTATGAAGTGATTTAACTGAATGGAAGGGACCTAAGGTAAAAAATTTTGTTTTAATAGAATTAAATTGTAAATTGTTTTGCAAAAACAGCATTTCCGTTAAAGTTTTTAGATGGGAATGATCTTTATCAATTAGTGATATGAAAAGTTGAGAGCCATCGGCATACTGGTGATAGTCTAAGCCTATGTAGTTATTTTCTATGACTTTATAAATTAGTGAATTGAACAAAAAATGTATTTCGTTGAAGCACACTTTTGTAGTATTAATTGTCAGATCTATTGAAAATTTAACTCATTTTGCATAAAATAACAAATTTATCAAAAAAAGTGTTAAAATTATGATACGTTTATTGATGAACAACCAAACATCGTAGTTTATATGACATAACATAACATAACAGGATTTGTTATTCCTGTGGTTCTATAGATTAGAGTTTGTGTGAGAACCACTGGAAAATAAGTTTCCTAATATGCTAACTTGCCGAGCTTGATGTTGAAACTGTTGATTGATTCCGCGGAGACCGTCTCGTCACTCAGATCATTCCAGATGTTTACCACTCTACTGCTGAAGAATCTTTGTTTGACAACCTTTTCTGTTCTTTTGGAAAGCTTGTATCTTTGGCTTCGTAATCCTATTCTATTCTCCAGTTAAAAAGTCTGGTAAACGCTGTATCTTTTTTTTTGCTAATCAATTTGTGTGCTTGTATCAGATCTCCTCTGTATCGTCTTGTTTCCAGTGTTGTCAATCCACATTCTTTCAATCTATCTTTGTATTCAAGATTTTTATGTCCTCTGATCATTTTTGTTGCTCTCCGCTATACTTTCTCCAATATGTTCTTGTCTTTCTGCAGACCTGGACTTCAAACTTGAGAACAGAATTCAAGATAGGGTCAAACTAAAATTTTGTACATATTTAGAATGATAGACTTCTTCCTGCTGACCAGTTTTTTTAATAAATCTAAGTATTTGATTTTCTTTGGCCTGCAGACTCCAAGGTCCTTTTCTTCTTGTGTTAATCGTAGCTTTTTATCACCCAATTGATAAAATTAAAGCCTTTGTTTTTTCTTCCTACGTGCATAACTGCACATTCATCTGTATTAAATGACATCAGCAAACTTCGATATTTTTGATACTATGCCAATGACAATGTTGTTGATATATATATATATATATATATATATATATCAAATTGAAGATAGCAGAATCAA